ATAATACTAACAAAAGGCAATAAGGAAAATTTTGATCTTGCAAAGTCAAAGATGAAAGGTAAATAGAAGGTGGTTTAGTTATACAATGAGTGAATTCGTGTGTGTCTATATGGATGACATACACAAAATAAGTAAATATTTACGACGACATAACGTCGCAAATACATTTTATATAACAGAAAAATATTACCGTCGTTAAAAACTCAAATGTCGTTGTAAATATGTAGTTGGCGGCAAATGTTGTATGGCGCCAACGTCTGCCGCCAAAATAATATTATTTGCGACAACTTGTCGTCACAAGTAATCCCAGTGTCGTCGCAAATGGGCGGTTCACAAATAATCACATTGTTGTCTAGAAATATATCATTTATTTATTATCCCCGGAGTAAAAAGGGGTCATTTTGGCGGTTCACAAAATTTATTTGCGACGACATTAATAGGTTTCATCGCAAAAAATGACTTTGAATTCCCCGCTAAAATAAACCGGGGGACCTTCCTTTTAAATATTAAATAATTAAGATATAGTTGCCACATGTTGTCACAAATAGTGATAAGTTATATTTGCGATGACAATATTCTTTTTTGTCGTCGCAAAAAACTCTGTCTATATGCCCACGACCAGAGCCTTCTCCTCCATTTTTTCCAGTCTCTTTCTCTCTCTTGGCCTCTCTCCAGTTTTTCGACCCAAACTCCCAAAACCTCCCTCTATTCTCTTCTAAATCCTCGCCAAATCAACATTTATCATAAGTTTTAATCATTTTAAGTGTTTTTTCATCAAAATAAGTATAAAAAATACTCCCTCTCCTCGCCCCCCTCCTCCTCCTCCACCGTCTTCCTTCGCCGCCGCCCAACCTTTGCCGTTATCAACCCCCGTTTTAGTGGGTTTGATTTTTGTAAGTTTTTTTACATATTTATTCTATTTTTTAGTTTAAAATATTTAGGTTTTTTATTATTAGAATTTTAGATTATAGATTTTACATTTTGAATTTTGATTTATAGATTTTAGAATTAGTATATAATTTGAAGTTTATATTATAGATATTAAATTTTGAGATTATTGAAATTTGGTATAAATTGTGTGTGAATTTTTTAGGATGTTATTTTATGAGATCTGCTTGTAATTTAATTTAGGTTATGATTAAAAATTTAGATGACTTGTTTGGGTGGCACGTCTTGTAGTTATGGTGTGCCGAAATCCTTTAAAAGCTAGTTTTTTGTAGGTTTGGATTTTTTGATAATAAGAAAAATAAGTTGTTATGTTGCCGGCTCTGCAAGAGGATCACGGCCTCTACCCAATCCGACAAGACTCCCGGTCCATTGTAAGTCAGGTATTATATGTTATAACACATTAACGGTATTTTTTATTCGGTGAACTCTATATAATCGAATTTTGTTATTTTTCCGAGACGACACATCGACGTCGACCTGATCGAGGGGTAGCTCTAGGCTTGAGCTAAATGAAGAAGACGATGACATGAACAAGGATGACGATGCTGTTAATTTAGGAGATTAAAATATATATTTTTTATTATCAACACTTTGTAGTATTATTGATTAATTTACTTTTAAGACTGATCTTATTGTTGTATTGACTATTTTATATTAATTCTATTGTTCTATTTTATTATTAAGTTTTCTCCAAATTTATATATTTATTAATTAATATTATTAGGAAAGTACGAAAAAAAAGAAAAAACTATTTGTGACGACACTATGTGGTTGCAAATATGGTATGACACGTTATCGCCAACGACATATTCGACAGAACATTCGTGACGACTGTCGTCGCTAATATATTAGCAACGACATTTCAAATCTATGTCGTCACAAATATATTATTTGCGACGACATATCGTCACAAATATTTTATTTGCGACGACAAGTCAGTTATTTGCGACGACATGACGTTGCTGCAAATAAGCTTTTTTGTTGTAGTGTCACTTCTAAATATAAAAATTTGATGACGTGTCATAATAAGAATCCAATTTCATTAATTATCATTAATTATTTCAATCAACTATTTAATTTATTACAACCGTCAAATTAATATCTTGTGGCTAAAATAATAATACTCATTGATAAATAAATATTAAAATGACTATTAAAATCATACCCCATCAACTTAGAGGACGTTTGGTTTATGTATTTAGAATCATGATTCAAAATTATTCTCGTTTTATGTGTATTTTTTGTGAGAGAAAATACTGTAGAGAATCATGAATCATGATTCAGAATCATGGACGAATATAGGAAACAAACGTCCCCTTACTTGTGCTACGAACCGTACTGAATATGACAGGCAACATCCGACCAACATGAATGTGCCACGTGTGAAAGTGCATCAGAAGTATTAAATGTGGTGATGACCAATATGGAGTTCTTTTCCCTTGTAAAGACTAGTTGTTAAAGCTCCAACAACACATAGTAATGCTCCAAGAGTCTTCATTTTACCTGCCTTAGTACGTATTTTTAGCTTCCCCAATCTACAAACGCATTTCAATGGAAATAAATATTACCGTTAACAGTCGCAATGTGGCCTAAATTAATAACTCTGGTTAAATTGGTGAAGGAAAAAAAGGGTTAATTGCCAATATAGTTTAGTTTAGGGGGCATTTGCCAAAACACAAAAATTTAAAAAGTAAAATGTCAAAAAATGTGGCGTACACGTGGGAATTTTCATGACTAATTCAAACGATATTGTCAAGTTGGACCAAATTGCATACTTTAACAAGTTTAGGAAATTAATTATTAAGATTAAAAGTTCATCAAATAATTTATCAAAGCACATAAATTTTAACGAGTATAATGCTAAAAAGTTTTATTTATAGCGCTGGTGCATAAAAGAAGTTTGTTAGGTTATAAAAATTTAAAAGAATTTTTAATTGACACTATATAGTTAGGAAACTTTATAAGAACCAATAAAATGTTCTTTTTTGTACCGCACCAAAAAAAAAAAAAAAATTGAACTCCTATACATGTATATATAAACATATATTGTTTAAATAGATGCCTTACTTGACGATGATAGAGAAGATAAAAGTGACAACGGGAACTAAGTTGAAGAAGTTGCTAACAAAAGACCGTATTCATTTTATCGATTCAAGTTTAGAATTTAAGTTTTAATATAGTAAAAAGTTTTCAGAAACAGTCACATCTATTTTTTTTGCTATAGTAAAAAGTTCTCACATAAAGTCACATCTCAACTTAAATTAAAAACTCGAATCAGCGAACTAAACGGGTTCTCTCCTATAGCGATTGTTATCCTACATATGTATGCAATGAGTGAGATTCAACGGCTTCAACAAAAATTTAAAACTAACAAAAAAACCAAAAAAACAAACAATAATTTATGGATATCTGAGTAGTCAAATTTTATCAACTGAGCGCTAACGTGAATTGAAGGATTGAAATATCACTGTTGGAGAGTTGTTAATTATTTGAATAAATTACTTTTATACATAAAAATAATACCAGTAAATAATTAGTCTCCATAAGTTATGATGAGCCTCATTGATACATTGGATCCTTTACGGTTCTCCACTATAAAATTTTCCATGTTTCCTATTTGATCTTTAAACATTATGACCATTAAAGTTCTTTCCATAAAAAGAAGAAAACTACAAAAAAGAAAAAACCTGTATTTTTAGTAGAAATTTGGACACAATTGTGTAATCTACCGATGTGGGTTGAACTCTTATGCCCTATTTTTCGGAGTAAAGCCAAGACAAAATGAGAGACGAAATTACAAAAAGTTCTCTGCAGATGACATTGGCTACCATCATTACTGGTTCACAACAATCAATTTTATCTTGTCACATTAAACTAATCTCATGTGTATAACTATAGGATTAATCTTACTAGTATTTCCTTAAATTTTGAGATTATTCTCATTTTATCTCTAAAACTTTAAAAACTCTTATTTTACTATTTGAATTTTAAATTTGTCATATTTTGTCTATTTGTAATAATTTATGTTAAAATCAGATAAAAAAAGAAAGTGGTTAAGTATGGCATATGATTTTTATCTCTTTATTGTTAACAGAAATTGAAAAAAAAAAAAAAAAAAAAACTACATGATTGCATTACTCTATTTTTTATATGTTTTTAACAAAAATTACAAACAGAATGGATTAAGTGAGAATAATTTAAGGTATAAGGAGCAAAATTAAATTTTTTAAAATTTAGTGAGCAAACTAAGAATGACACTAAAGTTTAAAAGACCAGGGATAATAATCTTAAACTATATATTGTATTTGTCTTATATTTTACATTAATTACTTCACAACTTATTATATTTTTTGTTATATGAGTTTTTATTATTGTCTGTTTATTGGTTTACAACTTATATATTTAAACTTGTCTTCATATATTTTATTTTTATACTAATTTATAATTTATGAGACAAGTTTGAAACTTTAATTATGAGACTAATATTATGATGAAAATTAACTTTCTTTTCATAAATTTCTTATCTCGGGTTAAATGATTAACTTCATTTATTTATTTATAGTTTCTTTATTTTGTTCAACCCAATTAATCTATCTAACCCACCTTTTAGGTGGGTTGATTTTAAATTGTTGTGTTGATCAGGTAGATTAACTTTGAAATCAACTCACTCAAATTTGATTAGGTGGGTTTAAAAATCTTAAAAACCCACATGATGTTTACCCCTAGAAAAAAAAAAATCTTTTAAAATGCATTAGTTTAGATTTTTACTTTTTAATATTGACTAATACCATTTTTAGTGAAATAACTATAGTCAAAAGAGTATTTAATCAGTTATTTTATTTTATTTTAAATTTACATGCTTTGTAGACATTGAACTACAACAGAAAGAAAATGTATGGGCCCCATAAGCAGCCTAAAAACAAGTTGATGGGCTCAATTCCTTTTGGAACTTAATGGCATAGTTCGGCCCGCAAAACCCAGGCGCCAATTAGGGCTCCAAAACCTGATGTATATATGAATCAACGTGCAGCTAGGGTTTTAAGGCCTCCCTCTGCATTTTCATTCCCCAGCCGACTCCTAGAGAGAGAGAGAGAGAGAGAGAGTGAGGAGAGAGAGAGAGAACAGAGATGAAGACCATTCTCTCGTCGGAAACCATGGACATCCCGGAAGGTGTCAAAATCAATGTTAACGCGAAGATCATCGAGGTCGAAGGACCGAGAGGCAAGCTGGTGCGGAACTTCAAGCACCTCAATCTCGACTTCGATCTGATCACCGACGAGGAGACCGGAAAGCGCAAGCTCAAGATCGACGCCTGGTTCGGATCTCGCAAAACCAGCGCCGCCATCCGTACCGCCCTCAGCCATGTCGAAAATCTGATCACCGGCGTCACAAAGGGATACCGGTACAAGATGAGGTTTGTCTACGCCCATTTCCCTATCAACGCCTCCATCACCAGCGGCAGCAAGTCCATCGAGATCCGGAACTTTTTGGGCGAGAAGAAGGTACCTTTCTTTCTCTCTCTTTTTTTTTTGTTAATTTTTATTTTGTTTGCTCTGTTGGTATCTCATTTTGTATTTCTTTACCGAATTTTACTGCTTTGTTTCTGCTGCTTATTTTGTCTGTTCTTTTTTTTTCATTCTTTTCGATTCATTCGCAATAAGCTATTTTCAACAATAAGAGAACTGTTTGTGAGAAACTAATTCTGGGACTTACGTGAAACTTGGTTTGGTTCTGTTCATGCTTACAGTATTTAGTTATGGAACTTTAATTGCATTTCTACAATGAATGAGTAATGTTATGCTTACAATGTGAAGCCTTCAATGTGTCAAACTTTGATATGAAAGGAGCCAATTTGTTGGTTGTTGCTGGTTTACACCGTTTGGAAGCCTTTTTGTGAGAAGTAAATCTCTTATGCGAGTTTTAGTTATCTCGTAGTGAGAAAAGATTTTTCTATATTGAATTGGATATTTATAACAGTTTGTCTTTCAACGTTGTATTAACCTGTTTTATTATGAATTGGATGTAGTGCTTTCTTGAGGAAGGCCGTGTCGTTTTACAAAGTTCCTTCATTTCGTTTATTCAATGCTTGTTGTCGTTTTGACTTTGTTGCTCAAATTTGTGTGATTTGTCTTGCTGCTTTTGTGGTTTTGTGTTTGATATAAAAGCTGCTAGGGCGAGGTCCATCACAGCTCAGATTGTATTCAACTTTTGGTTTACTCACTAGTATCTGAAACAGAGGCTGCTGACAAGCCTGTCTTTATCATTTTCTTTTGTTTTCCTGGGTTGCTGCGCCATATTTTATTTTGGTTAGTGTTTTTTGCCATGTAACTTTGATCACATTTCTATAATGAATGTGCAATATTGATTTTTAATCAAAATTCTTTCATTTTATATGTGTCAGATGAGCAACGAACGTGTTAGAAATGAGTCTGAATTTTAAAGATGTCTGTTTTGTGGTTATGAATGGTTTACGTTTTCTAGAGGCGATCCCTTGAGAAGTTGCTCTTGAGC